ACTCTGTTGTCTCCCAGTGTTTCAGCAAGAGATGATAAATCTTTCCTAGGGGAGAACTTGGCAGGACATATGGGAGCTTGGGGCTGGGGCCATTAATCTGATGTTATTTGCTGTTGGATCACAAACATGCACTAGGCTGAAGCACACACTTTGGGTTTTGTATCTCCCTGCATAGGTATGAGCACAATTTAAATTTTGTTTTCTTATCTTCTGAGGCTTAGAGTAACGCAATTCTCCAGTTTGCTAAACAGAAGAAGGTTTCAGTTTCTTTTTCAGCAGCCAGGATATTTTTCAAACTTTTATTCTGAATGTTGTTTCTTCTTTGGAGAAACTCTTGGACTTTGAAACCTGTTCTCATATGGAAAGCTTTGCCTATCTGGAAATCTGTTCTGGCTTGCTTTGCTGTTCAAAGTGCTGCTTCGTGGGTTCATTTTATGTCTCCTCGGAGACATTTTGTCAGAATTTTGCTTATCTACCAGTATTGCAAAACGATCCCCCATCTTAAGCAACCAATCGCTTCCTCATCCTCTTCTCATTGGTCTTTAAAGCAAAATGGAAATTAAACTGTGTCTGCTGTTATGCAGGCTGTGGATCTGGCTTTCACCTTTGGACTCTGGGCAGTATTAGCTGTGCTTGCATAAAAACTTTGCAGGAAGAAGAAACCTTGCTGAACTGTGCACAGCAAAGGGTTAACAAGTCTGAGGGAGAAGGGGAGAAAATCGGGATGGCTGGACTCTGCCCCTTTGCTAAGTGGCTACTTTTTCTGAAGTACATGGAAGACAGATGAACAACCTCAGAGTTGCCCTGAATTATCTTCCTGAGCATACAGCTCTCTCTTCTAGTAGTTAAATATGACAGTTATAGTGCAGTATTTATGCACAGTCAATAAATCAGCAGAAAACGTGCTGCAGTCAGGGCATGTATCCATAGCTTGTTCTTTATATTTTAGCTGAAAATGGAATTCCTGTATTTGCTGAACCTGTAAAAAGAAATTCAGGTGCACATCTCCACCAGAGACTTACACAAAGTGTGATGGCTCACAGTAGCCAGGATTTGCTCCCCAGCTTCCATTACTGTCCTTCCATCTGCAAATCCACATTCCTGAAAAGCAGTGAAAAGGCAAATTTTGGATCAGGGTCCCAAACTCTTGAGTGGAATAATTGCAAAAAGGACATGGAGCAAGTGAAAATGGCAGAAATCTTTAAGGACGAGTTATAATTTTGTGGAAGCTTGCAGTGTAGTTATAGAAAAGAAAAATGGTCCTGCTGAGTAATGTCCTGGAAAATACTGGTTTGGGGGTTTTGTTTGTGTTTGTTGGCTTGGTTTTTTTTTTTTTTTTTTTCCAGAAGGGGCTGTGTGACACACTGGCAGAAGCAGCCTGGCCTTTTCTAGTGTCTGGCTTAAGAGCAGCTAACTGCTGATGGGGGAGAATATTTTGCCCTGATACAGCACACAATATCACAGGACTTGAATTTGCTCAGCTTTTGCCATCTTGAATACAACTGTGAAGGAGCTATTATTTAGAACAATTTCTTACCTTCCAAACCCGGATCCAGCTGCACACAAATTCTTTAAGTTAACAGGGGATTTCACCTTTCTGAAAGGGACAGCACAGATCTATGGTTGCCTAAGAGCTAAACCCTTCGGAATTCTCACTGTGGTACTGAAAAATGCACCTTCTATGGTGCCAAGCAAGTCCCTTAGCTCCGGTGACAGCTTCTTTTTTTGTGTGATAGAGATCATACCTCCCATCTCACTGCATGGATTAATCCATAATTTTGTAGTGATTTAGCAGTGACCATTTCTGCTCTGCCTGGAGATGTTTTAAATTAAGAAGGAAAATCATCAGGGCAGCTGTATTACATGACCAAGATATGGAGCCACAGCAGCAGAGGGAGGTTTGAAGAGTTTAGCTGTTGATCCAGATTCTAAGTAGATAATTTCTGACTAATGTATCCAGTGTGCCCCAAATTCAGGTGGCTAATCTGTGCCAAAGCTGAGCACCTTCACTGTCTAAAGCAGCATGGTTTCTGTCTCCCAGGTGTATTACTTGTTAAGGATACCAAGCAGCTAGGTGAGAAAAAAGTAAGATGAAGCAATATAAAAGTGTTAAGAAACAAACTGTTAGTGCTAAAATCCTGTTAGAGACAACAGCTTAGATGTTAAGCTGTGTTAGAACAAGAAAGAGGAAAAATAATACTTTATCAGCACAACAGGAAAAAATACCACTGATCTGTTTGGTTCAAAAACTGACTAGAAATACCAATGCAGAATTCTGTTCCTTTTAACTATGGGATAGAATACCTACATAGAAATGATTTCAAAATATTTAATTATAGAAGAGCTTTACCTGCTGTACCTGTTGTGATTAATTTCCCCATAAAGACAATTTCTTTAACTATTGCTGCTGCAGAAATATAGTAGATGAGTGTATTTTCAATTAAAAACCAAGAAAAGTTTAAACTTTATGGAGATGATGAATGTCCACTGCCATAGCTGCCAGGTACTCAGCTCTGCAAAAACAAATAGTATGGAGGAGGAGTAAAAGCCACTCTAGCTGTATTAATGCATGTTCACAAACATGGTGTCTGTAGAAAAAGAATAAAAAGTGTCTCATTAAACTAAATAAATATCTTGCATTGTCCCTAGAAGATTGCTAGACTTTAGCTCTTGTGGTGTCCAGCTGGAGCAGGATCCAAAAAACAAGATCCTCAAGAGAGGAAGAGTATGTGAACCTGGCCTGCTGCTGCCCTTGGAAAGGTCAACCTGTGAAATAGGAAACAAGAGTTTCATCTTGACCTTTAAATACTATGTTTGGATGGGAAAGAAGTAGCTTTTAGGTATCTGGTGGTCTGGAATGATAAAAAAACATGGTGAGGATATGAATTTGTAATTGTTTAGCATTTCATACAACCAGACAAGGAGGCTGCAGGACACGGGGCATTGGGTGCCAGCTGGAATTGGCTGGGTCAGCTGGAGGCAGAAGGAGTCTCTGACCTCATCTGGTTGACATGAGAGCAATGCATAGGTGGCCTCATCGAGTTCCCATGCCAGGACCTGGCAGTGTTAGGTGGCTTCTTCCATTCAGGCCTTTGCAAATCCATTCCTGTCCAGGAGTTATCTTTCCAGGCTAACATGCAGCAGTTCAAAAATACAGTATCTGCATTTTTATTTTATCTCTAGAGATTCAAACCCCATTTGTTTCAGTCTGGCTCCATTCATGTGCACTAATGACATGCATAAAAATATTTATCTGTTTATCCCTCCTGGCCTTTCTGCTATAATTGTTAAAATTCAGAAACCGCAGATATGCATGCACAACTTATGGAGGGCCTGGATAATGGAATGGAGTCTCAAAATTTGACAGGATTCTTTTTCAAAATGAGTTGCTTCTCAACTCTTTAACTTACCTACTTTTGGTCCAATAGAATTAATTAATGAGATGTTATTTAAAAAATATCTGCAGAGTTTTTTTGTTAAAGGCAAACTTGTTTCTAAAGCCAATATAGAGACATAGCAGGTCCTGTGTGCAGATGTTGGGCTTTTTCTGTTGACAAAAGGGATGAGTACATGCCTGAATCAAATGAGTTTACATCTCTTGATTATTCTGATCAAAATGGGCAATGGTCCCTTTACCAACATTTGTATTTTGTACTGCTTTGTAATGGGGCATTAGAATTCACCTGTGATGTTGTGCAACAACAGTACTGTCCAAGGGCTTCACAAAAATGGAGTGAGAACTGAAACTGATTGTGCCTGCTGTTGAAATGAATGACAAAAAAAATGTGGAAAAAATATTTGAATTTAAAAGCACTGGAAAATATTATTAGTTTCTTTATTACTTTAAAGTTAAGATACATGCTGGCAGTGCTTCTTCTGTGTGTTTTGGATTTACTCCTAGAAGAAAACAAGTATTTATGAGTGGACATAGTGCTAAATACTTCCTCAGCCTCCTTCCCCTTATCTGGTTGCTGTTGGTGGTGGCTGCCAGGTCCCTTGGAGCAGGACACCTTGAAGAGGAGGCTCAGGGAGGACTTTATTTCTCTCCAAAATTACCTGAAAGGAGGTTTTACCAGGTGCAAGTTGGGGTCTTCTACTAGGCAATAAGTAGCAGGAAAAGGGGACATGGCCTTGAGCTGTATGGGGAAGTTTAGATTGGACATTAGGAGGAATTTCTTCACAGAAAGGGTGATTAGACATTGGAATGGGCTGCTCAGGGAGGTGGTGGTCACCGTTCCTGGAGGTTTTAAAGGAAAACTGAATGTGGCACTCTGTGCTGTGCTCTGGTTGACATGGGGGTCTTGGGCCATTGGTTGGACTCGATGATCACACAGAGACTTTCCAGGCCAATTGAGTCTCTGATACCTCCTTTCAGATAATACTTTTTAAAAAATATTTTTCTGAGTGGTAGGAAAGATTTCAGGGTTTATGTATTTTCATCTTTGCCACAATTAATTTGTTGCCATCCTGCCTCGATCCAGGCACACTGCGGTGCCCCGTCAGCGTGTGATGGCCAGATCAGGCACTGCCTGCGGGAGATGGCTGTTACCTGACCTGGGAAAGGCTCGCCTGTGGGGGGCCGGGGATTTAGTGCTCAAGTGAAACCTCTGGAAACAGGAACGAGGGCGATTATATCACCGGGTGAGCTGCCGAGAGGCTTCGCTCGGTTCCCCGGGACCAGCACGCAGCTCCTGCATACTCCCCAGCCATCGAGGGCTGAGCTGAGGCGGTGGCGGGGAGGTGCGAGGCGGCGGCGCGGTGACCCAGCCGCGGGTACCGGGAGGCACCGAGATCACACGGCGGCACCGGGACCGCGACCGGCCGTGAGGGGCCGGGCGGAGCGGCCCCTGGCGCGCGGGGCGGGGGACCCCGCAGAGGGGCGGGGCGGGCGCGCTGTGTGTGTGACAGGTGCGGCGCGCGCGCGCCCGCCGTCACCCCGCTCCCCCCCTTCCCTCCCCCCCGCGCACGCCGCCATGAATATGCAAATGCAGGTATAATTGCCAGCCAATGGCGTGCGCGCTGGTCACATGGTGCTGGTGGAGGCTCAGGGAAGAGAAGTTGAGTCCGGGCGAGCTCGGGCAGCGCCGCCAGAGCCGAGCGAGCCGCGGGCGAGCGCCGCGCCTCCTCCGCAGGGAGCCCGCCGGCCGGGGCTCTGCCTGGACCATGCCGATCCTCCTCTTCCTCATAGACACGTCCGCCTCCATGAACCAGCGGGCGTACCTGGGCACCAGCTACCTGGACATCGCCAAGGGCGCCGTGGAGATCTTCATGAAGGTGAGTGCGCGGCGCCGGGGGAGCCGCCGCCCCCCTCGCCCCCTTCGCCCCCGCTCACGCCGCTTCTCTCCGCTCTCTCCGCAGCTGCGGGCCCGGGACCCGGCCAGCCGCGGCGACAGGTACATGCTGGTTACGTTCGACGAGCCGCCCTACTGCATTAAGGTAATGACCCCCCCGGCCGCCTCGGCCCCGCGGCGGGGCCGCCCTTGGCGCGGCGCGGCCCCGTCCGGCCCGGCGGCGGCAGCAGCAGCCTGTGAAGATGGCGGACATTTTGCTTTTGTATGGAGGAGAGAGGCTGAGGGCGCTGCTGAGATGGAGGAGGGGGGGGGAGGAGACGGGCGGGCCGTGATTCACCGCCCCGGCGCACCGAGGGGCGGCCGCGCTCCGCCCCCCGCGGGGCGGTGGCTCCGGCGGGGCCGTCGCCGCGCCCGGGCCCGCGCGGCCCTGCGACCCCGGGACACGCGGGCACGGGGGGCGGGCAGGGCCGGGCCCGCCGGGCCGGGCAGGGCGAGTCACCCCTCACGGCAGCCGGGGCCCGGCCCTGGCGCGGCTGTGGGTGTGGGACAGCACCCGCGGCTGTTTCCGCCTCTGCGATTGACGAAGCCGCGGTGTTGGGGTTGTGTGTCCGCCTGTGCCGCCCGCCCCGTTCAGCCTGCTGAGCACGGCAGCCTGCGCCAGTGGAAGGTGCTCGCAGCTGCCGCTCCGTGCAGGCTCGTGGTGAGCTGGATGTGGAGCCATCGAATCGTCGAGGTTGGAAGACACCTTTAAGATCACCGAGTCTAGCCGTCAACCCAGTACTGCTACTGTAATTCGTAAACCACTAAATCACATCACCCAGTGCCAGCCTCTTAAACACCGACAGGGACTCTAACACCTCCCTAAACAGCCTGCCCTCTTGAATCATAAAAATTTTCTTCGTGATATCTGATCTGAATTTCCTCTGTCCCAGTTTAAGGCCATTTTCTCTGGTCCCTCACTGCAGGCACAGCAGAAGACACCCTTCCCTATCTCACTGCAGCCTCCTGTAAAGGAGTTGTAGGGAATGAGGTTTGCCCTAAGCCTCGAGAGCAAACAAGTCTGCCTCGCTGGCTCCTCTTGTCCCTGTTTTCTCATTCCTCAAGTCTGAGGCAAGTACAGCCATGCCATTCTCATCACATCGTCTGCACCACGAGGTTTAGGCAGAAGTAAAAAAAAAAATCATGGTGCTGCCTCCCTTATGCTGTAGGCTGCAGCTTGCTGATGGAAACATCCTGACTGAAAACATTTAGGTAAAGTGTGTCACAGAAAGCATTACTATGGGAGTTTTAGAATCCTCCTGAATAGTCCCGGATTATGACTATATTTGCTCATAGTAATACACTACTTACGATAACTGTTAAGCTGTAGACCCATGCTATGAAGGCCAAATAAATTAATGTATGAATACATTGTTGGTCATCCTAGAGAAGAAAGGAATATATTGTCTAGATCTCCCAGCTAGAACTTCTTGAGATGTTTAAGAAGTAAGTAGACTCACTGGTGCTGTGAGCTTATTCACATTGATAATGAGGAAATGTAGCTATCATGAGCTATGAATTTTGGCTCCTTTCATCAGTAATAAATTTACATGGCTTTCTGAAGTGACAAGTCACAGAGTAAGTATTTATTATTTGGTATTGCTCCTTTCATTTCCTCAGAAGAAGGTGTGGTAGTAATTTCTGTGAATTGAAACCATCCTTGGCTTACAGAAAGTTACTGTCAAAAAACCTACATACGCCTAGGAGAGGTTTTTTTTTAGACAAGATGCACACACCATTTGCCCCATCTGTGATGGTGGCTGGATGCAAACCCTACATCTTCGTTACGCCAGTGTTAACTGGATTTCTTGTGTCCTAGATTTCTTCTAGTTTTGTGTCAAATATTTCACAAGTGTATCTTATGTTTGAGAAATGAACTTGCTCCCTGCAGTGACAGCAGGCATACTGGTGATTTTATAAAAAAATCACTTTGCTGCTGGAGGTCTGTGTGGTAATGCCACAGGTTATTACTATGGCTATACTCAGATTTGCTGAGGAAGATCCTTGGGGTTAAGAAGCATCTGTGTGCATTCTGATGTGCTAATGAGCATCTGACTGTTAACAGTTTTAGTAAATAGTAATTGAAATAAATGGGGCTGTGATACCCATCATAGCATTCAGTCATATTTAATGTACATTAAATAGCCAAGGGAAAAGAAAAGTATTGTGGTTCTTGTAACTTGCTAGTTTTTCTTCTTAGAAATTTATATTTCTGCCTTTAGCACACTGGTTTTTAAATAGGACCTCAAACAATCTTAAAATATTTTTTCAAAAATTAGTAACTTTTCTAAGAACAGGCTGCAGATTCAATAAATATGTGATTACAGTAATTATGATCACAAGTGCAGCTCAGCTATTGCGTAAAGACTCCATGGGATAATGAGTGTTGTTGGGCTGTCATCATGTCTGTTCCTTGAGCAGAGAAAGCCTCACAGCAGTGAGCAGATGACTCCCTGTTTGAAGACTTGTTCATAAAGACCTGCACTGGTATTTATGATGTTCCCTCTGTTGTGTTTTTTAACAACCACAGTTGTGCCAGGAAATCTTCCTGGTCTAGGCCAGATTCTCTATGTCTTACAGAACATGCTTGTAAAATATATAAAATCTGGTTTCTTTGCTAATGCTGCTGCAGTTAAATACTTTGCCTTGATTTAGAGAATGTGAAAACAAACCTGGCAAGTGAATGCATTTTGCAGGCTTGCTTTCCAAGTGTGTGCAGCAATGGCTGTTTTACCCTCTTGTTTTCTTTATGATTTATACTAATTAAATTACATAGGCTCTCAGATAGTTTACCAGAGAAGCACTTAAAGGAAATAATCTGGTGGTGGAGTTGAGACCACCTAGGACGCAGAGGAATTACATGAACTTGAGTTTTGGAGCAGGGGTAGCTGAGATACATGTTTTGGATTGGTTTGTTTCAGAATTTGTTTGCCTGTAGCATTAAATTATTTCAAACCAACAGCACTGGTTCACTTTTGATGGACAAGAATATATCAAGAAAGTATGTACATATGTATTGTATTGAGCTAAGTGGAAGAATCATGCTATTGCACAAATGATTTGCCAAAATCTGTGAAAGTAAAGTGGTGTTTTTGAAACTGTCTTTAGTATATATGGTTTGAAATTATTTACAGGACCTGTTGATGCTGTTTGACTGCTAATATTTCTCTATGCCATTTTTAAAACATGAAATAATTTAGTCCCTCACTTTGCAGTGGGGCTCAGCAAAGAGCTGTGATGACAAGTGTCTAAAGAGGAGTCAGGTGCTGTCCTGGGAAGGTGGGGATGGCAGGAATATCAGCCCCACTCTGGCAGCAGATGCCTCTGGAGCCTTATCAGCTGTTTGGCTTCTATTTGCTATATAATGTATAGGTGGTGATTTGGGACAGCAATTATGATGCAAACATTTATAACTCTTACTTTGTTTCTAAAATACTCTACAGTAAGAGACAAATATTAAATATATTAAAAACATCTTATGAGATGTATTAACCTTGTAATTGTCGACTGATATGATCCTGTATAGGTCAGTGGAAAAATACCTGTAAATTTCATTGGATGTTGGCTCAAACTCTCATTTTATGAACTAAGGGAAAATTAGTATGTTATTTCATGAAGTAAGAGTTTTCAACCTAATGTTTTTAGTGAATTTTTTAGATTAAAATTATGATAGGGTGCTATCAAGTGAGAATGTGCTAGTTGGTGGCATGTTAACATGGAAGTGAGCTAGTCTGTTCTGGTATTTGGGTATCTGATTTTGGGTATTTGGCATGCATGGGAAGGTAATAAGATGTACAGTAAAGCACCTTTGTAAAAGGTGTCTATTACTATTAAAACACTAGTGCTTAAATTTAGGTATGGAAGGAGTTTATTTCCAGTGTGTATCCAGTTGGGCAAGAAAAAAATGGGTTCAGGAACAGCCTTGCTGCCTGGCAGGGTGTTTGACGTTCCTGACCTTCTGGCTAAGAGAAATGCATTGTCCTATTGAGGGAATACAGTTCCTGATGTGTCCTTGTTTTGAGGACTTCCTGTCCATGGATTGCTTGAGCCCAGATCTTGCTCCATCTCAGCCCTATTGTGGCCTGGTGCTGCAGCACCTCCGAGCCTTGTGTGCCAGCCCCACCCTTCTCATCCCTTCCTGCACAACGTGGCTGATCCGGAATGCCTGGGCAGGAGGGTGGGAACAGGCCAGGCGTGTTACTGACAGTGCTGCACAGCACTTCCCCAGCTCCCACAGGGGCCTGTCATGAGCTCTTGCTGTGCCCTCATGGTCTTCTGTGGCTTTTTTCATATATTTATCCAGTTGATTATTTTTTTTAATCACATAAATTTCAGCATCCTCTATCAAATAATCTGTTTCTCTGTAAGTAAGCACATGCTGTGGTGCAAGTGGGCAGAATCTTGTTTATTTCTTTGGGAAGTAATGGTGCTAGAGTAAAAGTATGGAGAAAAGAGAACAGTCTTCTCACCTACCCTTTTCCCTGCAAGCTTTTCTTATTTTCCAGTGATGATGTTTCAGCAAGATCTATCTAGATTTGTCTGAAAATGGAGCTTATGCCAAAATCTTAGCCAAAAGAGTTTTTGAAAATGGAAGCAAGGCTTAACTCTTCATTTATTTTTTCCATTCTCGATTTTTGTGAAACCTCACATCCTGCAGTTTGTGGCTTGCTTGTGGATTTGGGCTGCAAATGGCGAGTTCAGGCCCAGACCAAAAACACAATGGTGGCCTTATGTGAAGTTATTGATTAACTGGATTGCCCTGTTCCCTTGTGACTGATATCTGGCTGCTGGCAGTGATACGGCCTTTCCTCAGGGCTCGAGGAATATTATTTATTATCTGGTCACAGAAATATGACTTCTGTTTTATGTTCATGTGAGATTCTACTGTCTGACCTTCATAAATGATCTGGTCATAAGTCAGAGGACTGAGAGAACATAAGTTATATTCTGAAATACATATTTTCCTCCTTCTGTTGTGTTATACTGAATTCAAGAGTCAGCTGTGACTGCACTGCAGAACTGGGCTCCATGAATTTGAGTGCAGAAATATGTACATAGCTGTCTAAGAAGTAGCTCAAATTTCTTTATACAGTGTGTGTGAAACAC